CACACAAGCCTGGCCGGATTTGTAGTTCCTCGGTAATACTTAGTCGCGAGCCAGTCAACATTGCCTAATCCCCGTGTCCAAGCTTGACTACCCAGACTTTGTTCTCGGAAAACTACTTAGTCTGACTTGTTCATTTCTCGGTCATATCCGGACATTGCCTTGTCCGAATTGTGGTTTACTGGATTGTATAAGCTATATGGCTTATTCGTACAGTCATATCTAGATGTTAGGTATGGGTTTATTCGGTCAGTCTCCACTACCCATCTCCCTTGACACTCCATCACCTCTCCCTCAAGACTCCATCGCCTCAATCAATCCTGTGTCTGCACCAGGTATGTCATATTATATATCGATTTGAATATATCAATTTCTCTCCATCAAATTGTATATATCGATCTGTATATATGGATTTCTCTCCATCGATTTGTATATATCGATCTGTATATATGGATTTCTCACCATCGTTTTGTATATATTGATCTTTTGTCTCTATCGATTTTTATACATCCATCTGATATATCAACTTCTTTCCATTGATTTTATATATATATATATATATATAATATATATATATCGATTTGTATATATTGATTTGTATATACTGATTTCTCTCCATCAATTTGTATATATTGATTTCTCTTCACTAATTTGTATATATTGATTTTATGTTTATATCTTTCTCTCCATTTTTCTTTCTTGTATCAATTTTCTATAACTATTTTCTATATCGATTTTCTATATATGCGTATGTCTCTATATCGATTTTTTGTATATAACAAACTCTCTCCATCCATTTTTTGTGTATAACCCTATTTTTAAGTTTCGAATGACATCATATAAATGTTTAAAAGTGATTTGCTAGTTTTTGGTGTGATTGAGGATGCACTATTGATAAATTTTGTGGCCCGTAGCCACCATATACGGCAACCTTAGTTAATAACAGTGGGTGGAAACCCTGTTACAGCTTATAGATAATGCAATCAAAGCCATAAACGACTTATATTTATCGTAGGTACAATATAATATAAATGCATCATATTGCAAGAAAGAATAAAAACAAAATCAAGATGTCAACAGAGAATAATAAATGAAATAAGTTTTGAGGATATTACTAAGGGGCAGGCTAAATATACCCCCATATATTGATAAATGCACATATGGGACTGGGAAACAAACAAAAGGACACATCAGTCCCCATTTTCAGAAAAGCTTGGTTAGGACCGATCCTCATTTACACATAATAAAGCCCCATAAAAGACCTGAAAAAAGTCTGGCCCAAATTGGTAACAGATATATCACATCAATAGTATAACAAAACTAAAAGAGTTGGAAGATTTGTATATATCGATTTCTCTCCATCCATTTGTATATATCGATTTCTCTTCAATGATATGTATATATCGATTTTCTATAACTATTTTATGTTTTGATTTTATGTATATGCGTATGTTTCTGTATCGGTTTTTTGTGTATAACAAACTCTCTCCATCAATTCCAGTATATGATGCATATGTCTCTGTGTCGATTTTTTTTTGTGTATAACCCTATTTTTAACTTCGAATGACATCATATAAATGTTTAAAATTGATTTGCTAGTTTTTGGTGTGATTGGGGATGCATTATCGATAAATTTATGTGGCCCGTAGCCACTGTATACGTCGACGTTAGTTAATACAATGGATGGAAACCCTCTGTTAAAACTTATAAAGACTGCAATAGAAAGCCATAAATGACTTATATTTATCATAGGTACAATATAATAAAAATCCGTCATATTGAAAGAAAGAATAAAAACAAAAGCATGACGTCAACGGAGAAAAATAAATGAAATACCAGTTTTATGGTAATGACATCATAACGAAAGGACTAATAATTTGGAACTTGTTCGTGTTTATATGAGTTTAAGGGAAAAGTTGATATAAAAATTTGGTTAACTTGTGTACATGTTCATCGAGTGTGCTTATTTGCAAGTAGGGGAGTTTTATGGTAATGACATCATGGTTATTAAAATGACAATTCCATAATTTTGATATCAAACAAAAACAAATATCGAATCCAGTAAGCTAAATAAGCATCAAATCCAAAAAGAATACCTTTCTAATCAACAAATGTGGAATCTAGCCCTAACTACAAAGGAACAATCGATGCACTACACACAATGGAGATGAAAATGGAATAAGGGAAAGTCAGATGCACTACCTTATGAAAAATAAAAACTAATTACCTCGATTCAGTATTTATTCCTAATTGCGTTTTATCATTGTTTGCAAAGGAATCAGGTCAGAAAAATAACATATAACCTTAAAACACAAACTTACAAACCTTGACAAAAAGCAAACCGTAATTGGTTCTTGAAGAAAAAGAGCACTAAAAAGAACACTAGAGAGTTGATGAAGAACAGGGAGAAACCTCGATCACAGGTTCATGTTTGTGTTTTATCCGGCTCTTTCCAAAATAATCTTCAATGATTGCAGTGAGAGGAGGAGTTGTGGTCGAGAGGATGGAGTGATTGATGACGTAAATGTGTCCATGATTTCATCAGGAGAGATTTAAAAAAGTTTGACTTTTTGGAAAACTCAATAACCGGTATTAGAGAAACAACGCTTGAGAACATAAATTAAAATCTGAGAAATAAACTTGGGATAAATCTGAGAAAAAAGGCAATGTATTGATAACTTGTACCATATGTTTTAAAAATTGTAATTAAAATTTCTTAAGACTTGTACATAAATTAGCAGTACATAATGCAATAAATGTTGTTTTTAAAACTTTGACAAATATGCTTTATAAGGTTGGATAGATAGTTCATAAAAACAAATTATGAATAATTATAAAAGAAATTAAATTACTTTTTATTAATTGATTATTATAAAACAAATACTTTTAACATATTTTAGAACATTATTACACATAAATCGTACGAGATCCCACATCCCATGTTTGTGGAATTTTATTGATTTCAAGTCCAAACAATCTGTCAAACTGAAATGAAATTGAATTGCAAATCCCTTCAAATCCAATTTGTAAACCAAACTAATTTTATTTTCTTTAATATGACATTAATATCATTATATTCTTTTTGAGATTATTGTTATGGTTGCAATTATGAAATCAAACATTACAAATAATTCAACTTGTTTTCTTGTGCAAAACAATACGACATTGTTTCACAATGTGAAACAACACTTTAGTTTTAACCCATATGTTGTTTCACATCAATGGCTTTCTCATATCATGTTAATAGTAACCATAAATCTTTTTATAATAATAAATGATGAATGACACTCATCAACACCTCGATCATTATCCAACGACATGAATTAACTAGTTTAATCCACTCATCGATTAACATAGTCATGGTGTATAAACATGTCCATTTGTCCAAGATGCTCATATTGAACACGAGATATGATTTGTTTCATTCACATTAAGTTCAAATTTTAGATTTTGATCTCTGAATAGATTGAATAAATATCAAATCTTGATATCATATATCACCTATCTGAACAACAAGCATTGCTTCAATTTCAATCGGGAGATAGTGGAAGAGATTTATGGGAGTTAATAGCTCCTAAGGCAACAAGTTTTTATGTTATATATAGAATTATATATATATATATATATATATACATATATGCTTTCTATATATTATTAAAACAGATAATTATATTAAAAATGTACATTCATATTAAAAGAAGAAAAGTCATACAGATAATTGTTATAAAAATGGTTTTTGATTGAATACTTAAAATAGAACTTATGAAACTAATTTTATAACTTCGTTTTCATCGTGAGTCCATAGCGTTTATGAATTCATGAAATTGTGAATGATGTGATTAAATAAATTTATAGAAGTCTAAAATCTAAAGTTAACAGTGTAAAATAAATAAATAAATAAATAAATAAATGACAAAAACTCATGTCCTGTAAAAAAAAATGCAAGTTGCGGCACGCCTCAAGGCACCATGGCGTGAGCCACACCTTGCAGAAATGCTATGAGTCATTTCGTAAAAGCAGAGACGCGTCTTGCACAATATCACGTCTTTTTGAACACTGCTCGCATCAGAAGAGACAAACATTGTCTCTGGTAAAACAAGTTTCATGTAATGATATTGTCACACACCAACAACTATTATTTTGATCAATAACGATATAATTAGCATTAGCGTCAAAGTATATGACCTAAAGACCATTAAGCCAAACAACATTATTGTATTATGATTACATGGAAAAGACTTATGATACTCATATGATATCACATTTAGTATTCTTAAGTTGAGTCTCTTTGGTAAAGTTCACCAACTCGTACCTATCCAAGAAAAACTACCATACGAGTTCATATACGCTAGTCTCAACAGCATTACTTCAACTCATGTCTAAAGTAGATCTTGACTAGGGCTGTTCTAAGAATCATATTCTAAGGTGTACTATATGTTTCATTAAACAACACGATATTTCTAATGTTACATAATAACTAGACAACCCTATATCAATCATAACTCATTGTTTTTCCAAATATAACCATCTAGTGATCGACTTTTGAGGATATTAATAAATGGCAGGCTAAATACACCCCCTATATATTGATAAATACACATATGGGATTGGGAACCAAACAAAAGGACACATCAGTCCCCATTTTCAGAAAAGCTCAGTTAGGACCGATCCTCATTTACACATAATAAAGCACGAAAAAAGCCTGGTCCAAATTGGTAACAGAGATCACATCAATAGATATAACAAAACTAGAAGAATTGAAAGATTTTACTCTATTCATATATTCCAATCGAAAAAGAAAGTAAAGTTTTATTACCTTTTGAGTTAATCATGTTACACCATTAAAAGAAAGAAAACAAATCATGGACCAGAAGTAAAAAGCCCAAAGCCGAAAGAAGGTATGGATATACCCTGCTCACTCACAGTAACAATATCCATGTCCCACCAACCAACTTCCCACACATCATTACTTTATCTTAATATATACAGAAAGTAAGCATTAATGAACCACAATGGCTTAAATAATATTCACAACTTTTGAAATATAACAACAGAAGAAACAAGCAGATGCAGTACATGGAAATTCAACACAATCCGATGTAACCCGATTATTAGAATAACAACAGTAGACCTTTTCGACAGGCCAACAAGAGAAGGGGAAGGGAAAGGGAAGTGGAAGTGGAAAGGATTCACGACAGATAGACAGACAATAATAGTTTCTAATATAAAGAAGCAAGTACCTCCAATAAGGAAGCAACAAATTGCATTTGGGTATCCTCATCGATTGTTAGGAAGAGGGGAACGTGTACAAACACGGTTTTTATCCCATTTTGTTCTGCAAACCGAAGAGAATGATAGTATACGTAATTGCAGACAAAGCGGCCAGCATCATCAGAGGTCACCACGTCATAACCCATCTTTGCTAAGGATTTGGTTATCTCATCCACAGGAAGACATGTCTGCATCCACAATATGCTTGCATCATCCAAGTGAAAAGTTGTAAATTGTTAAATTATAAGAGCGCCACAAACAAACATGCATACACCCTGATTGTAGGAATTGAATAAACAAAATGAAACGAGCTCGGTATATCCCATCAGGAAGTACAGTCTGAAGTACATCCGGGGGTAAAATGTGCACAGCCAGCTTTATCCTAATTCCTAAAGACGAAGACCCCCAACTAGTAAAAAGTGCATGAAAACGAGAAATACAAGCTAAAATTCAACAATCTAGGATATAAATCTTAGGAACTGTATGGTTATGATAAATTGATGTAATTCTACAATCTTGGATATAAATTCAACTAATGTAAGCCTCGAAAGTGTAAATAATGAAATTCACATGAATATTTCCATTAATCAAGTGTAAGGCTCGTGAGCGATTGGGAAAACAACTCTCTACAAGCACTTGTAGAATAACCTTATGGAAGGTGGTGGTAGGATTTTATGTTCTTTGTAATGATTTTACGGATTGGTTTAGAAATGGCAAGTTGTAAACGAAAAAACGTTAGCTTAACCAGAAAAAGTTACTAAACCGACAAACTATACACTATATCAAGATCACTGCAAGGAGAGTAGAGGAAAGGTTTGCATACTGATCATACTCCCAAACCCTACTCCTTGACACGAGTAGATACCTTTTTAAGTTACTATAACATTTCAAAGAGACAGGGAAAAATCATAAGTAAAATCATGAAGATAAGTTTTCTCATGTCTCAGAAATTTGACATGATTATACCTTCCGTGCCTTTGAAATTCCGCCATCTGCAGGAATAATAGGAACTTTCTGCAAATACAAACGATGGTATTACAGACCAACTAATAGCAGAAAAATGATGGGCTTAAGGAGCCACATCTAACCTGAGGCTTCCATCCCATCTCATCAGGGCAGCGGAATGTAGCTTCATTTACAGCTTGATGCTCAATAGCAAATCTTGTGGCCCCGCTATTAACTCCAAAATGTAACTGAAATATAAATTTAAAAAAGACAAGAAATCTCTTATTTGCAACCTCCAACTGGAGTAACTACAATAGCAGCAAATACCGAGTTCAAAAGTTGGTGGTTTATGTGCACTATTTTACTACATAAACAGAAATATATTGTGTTTGAGGATTTTTATATGTTAGCGGTCAAGCTTTGTCACTCGACAAACTCTATGGTGCCAACCCAGTTACTTAGCATATTGAATAATGACTCCCTGTATGCAAAAGCCTGTCTAGATTCCTATAATTAGGCTTCTACAAAAAGCATTTTATTCTACTTCCCTGCTTTTCTTTCGGGAATCTCACAGTCAAATTCACATGGTAACTGTCTCATCTTTCTTTTTATCTTCTATGACCTTCCTTTTTGTCATTTAATCCGTCTTTGTTTTCTTTCTACCGTGGATGCAGCTCCACAAAACCCTAATCTACTTTCAAAATTGGAAATGCTCCCATAGATTCTCATCTACATTACAAGGATATTGGTGTGTGGATATGAGTATGTAATATGTGGATGCAGGGATTTGTTGATTTTTAATTAAGGACTCATTTCTACAAATACCAAAGATCAAACTCTGACATACAAGATTAGGCCATAAATCTGTGTTGTGACTCCCGTTTTTCAGAACACTGATTCCACAGAAGAATTGATTTATAGATTCTCCCTCGACCCACGCAAATGAAATTTCCATTTCCGTCATGTCCTATTTCTATAACAACCTGTTTGGGATTGTTTGCTGTGATATCCGGGACCCTTATGGACATAGATTCTTCCTAATTATTTTTTTTTTAAGTATATAATATTTATATACGGCAAATACTCGTGCATATGCCTCACCGTTGGCGAGGTTTGATCCCTTGAACTCTTGATAGGCTGGGCACTACCCGTAACCTGGGCACCCGCTGGGCCAATGATCTATGATCCTTTGGTCTTCCAAATTGTTTTATAAGAGACACAAGTTTACTTAACCATGCAAGAGGCTCTCAGCTCCTTCAAATATTTCTATTCATCAAGATCACAATTCTTAGACCTGATAGTGGAGGTAAGCATGATTTCTGATTCTTATTCTCTAATCCCAGTATAAATTATCAAATGACCTACCCTTATACACCTCAACCAATGGAATGATGAAGAGAAAGCATGCTTGGCATCTTGTTAAGCTGACAACAGGGGATGGTCTTCAATGCAATTTTTGTGCTTATTCTTTAATCACAGATACACATATAGCAGTTTGAACCATAAAACACCAAATTCCTAGATAAGAATCCAATATACGATCTTTAAAATCTTTTGGTTTTCTTTGTTCTATTTCTCAGTAAGCCACACATTATCTTAATTCTAGAGCATTTAAATATGTCTTATTCTATTCCTAAAAGCAAAAAGGGTATATGTATATCTTGTTTTACTTGGAGCTCTCACAAAAATCTAATTTTCCTGAACATGATGCCAAGAGATAATCTTCCTTTCTGATTGTCGATATCATGTTATGCCGCACTACCTTTCATTTGCCAAATAAAATCTATTTTCAAATCAATCGAGTTTCAAACTTTCCTAATACATGAAATGGGACACACACAGGACCAACACGGTGATACTTTATTCATCAAATACTCAATTAAAGGTGAACTCACTGCTCTATTGGTCGATGTTGACCAAATTTGATGACATGTAGTAGGAAATAAATATGGTTGTTAGATCTCTAGTGTTGAAGCTGGATTTACATATGTCGCACATGTTGTAGGAGAACTTCATGGCTGAAAGTGATCATGGATGATCTCAAAACTTACAGAAAGGAACCTATAAACTAGTATTGTGATAACAAATTTGGTATCAGCTTTGCTCATTGTATTCAGTACAACATTCAATTCAGTACAACAAAATGAAGCACGTTGATATTGATGGACATTTTGTGAAGAGAAGCTTAACAAGGTTATCCTAAGCTGGGAGCAGAAGACATACATTCAGGAGCTTGAAGGGGAGTGCAATGTACCTATATATAACTGTTCTTTATTTGTTTGCCTGCCCAACTCTTCTTTACCTTCTCTTGGTTTCTAAGGATTTCTTTTTTCTAAAGTTCTCCTCTTTTTCCTACAAGTGGTTGGTTTACCAGGTTTAGTTATCCTCTGCTGTTCTCTAGGAACCCACCTTGAATCTCTAAAAGCAGTTTGTATGATTCTTTATACAATAGCAAGATTGAAAGAATTCCATTTTTTTCCACACTATTCCAGCTTCTATCTACCATAGAATCATCCATCACCATCCTCCATCATTGGCTGTGAAAGTCTCTGCCATTTCTTATCAATTGTGTACTAAAAAGTAAATGCAGCAGCAAATATAATTGGCCAAATGCTTCTGCTTATACAAAATTGCATGCATACCATCAGAAAAGGGCAACCATCATACTCTCGTTTAAACAATAGAGAAGCAAAGGGTGAATATACTCTTAACTCAAAAAAGAGCAACTGACCAGAATGATTTTGGAAAAATTCGATGGTTCGGCGTCCTTGCTCACAGCAGATTGTAATGTCTGATACAAAGGAACAAGAGCTCCCTGGCCTGCAGTCTCGAGAATCGTACAACTACCAAGAATCACCCCCTTTGGCGAACCGTTCCTCTTCAAATGCTCTTTCAAATTACTGACAATTGTCTCAGCCGGATTTTCCGAAACTCCATGAAATTTCTTAAACCCAGTCACATGGAACGTTACAGCTGGAGGCCCTTCTGACCCCATTCACCAACACTTGATAAATAAAATTCAAGAATAGGCAATATCCTTGAAACTCCAAACTAGTACTGATGTCCCTACAAGAAAATGATTAGTTATCAGTTGAGAGCCTCAGCAGATGAAAATCCAAAACCTAGTAGGACATAAAAGCCATAATACGAGTGAGAAAATAACCAATCACAACAGACATCAGACTTTGGCCATAATTTACAACCTTTAGAAACTTATACAAAGACACCACGGAGTTACGCCATGTAATGCACCTGCAACATCCAATACCAAACCTAGTAATTTAGATTGATATGGTTTATGTTACAATCTTTTTGTTATGAGCCCATCTAACATTGGTTCTTTCTTTCTACCTTTCTTTCTTCCTTCCGTTTTGCTCACACTTTTGCACAAAGGGTCTTCACGAAAACAATCACTCTATTCTTCAACCCCCTAACCCTATATCTTGAGCGAGATACACCAGGACCACTTAAATTCACAATGGTTTTAACTTGATTTGGAGGATATTAGCCTAGCCTGCTACTTTGGGATCGGCACATTCCAAAGAGTATTAGAGCAATGCATCTTTTGGGGATATGGATTATGGAATTTTATTTTGGGTTTCTATGTAAGCCTCACAATGTGTCAGGAATTTATAAGCGAATATGAATTATGAGTTCCTTCAATTAGTACCCTACCAATAACTTCTTTCCCTCGGTTTTAATCAGCAACTGTCATAATTAAAGCTGAAAATCATCGTGTTTGAGCTCAAAGTCAGACCGAACATCTGGCCACTGATATCGAAATACATCCACCGAATCAAATAATAACATGCAAATCAGAAAATATATATACATGAAACAATCGAATCGGTCAGTGATTACTTCATATAAAACAGTACATAACAAGTTTGATCATATATGAAATCAGTATAGGGCGACATGAACAGGTGAACAACCCTTGAAGAATTAAACGATAGAAAAAGCAAACTCTTCTGATAAAACAGAGTCAAGCAAATAAAAGCGTGAACTGTAATCCAGTAGCATTTGAAACAACAAAACCTGATGAACAAATTGGATCAAATACAAAAACCAAGGAAAAGGAAGGCGATGGAATTGAGCTTTTACCAGAGAATCGTGCGGGAAAAAGCAAACCCAGAAATGGGGTACAACCACCGGTCTTATCTGTAGAAGCGATTAAACGAAAAAGTTTAAACTGATTGAGGTTCCTTTTTGCAAACAACTGGTGTTTCACATTTTTCCCTTTTACCATGGATGGCCTCCTTCCTATGTCGAATAATTTTTGTTTCATTTTTATTTTTATTTTTATTTTGAGGGTAATTGTCTCAGGGCTGTTTGTTTGGCTCTTAACAGTGATATTAAGAGCCAACCTCTTAATCGGTAAGAGGTAAGGAGTGTTTGGCAAAAAAAAAAAAAGCCTTTTAATGGTTACATAACCCTCTTAACCATTTAGTGTCCGACCCTTCACTAAACCATTCAGATTTACAATTTCCAAGTTTGCCCTCTCTATAGAGCCCTTCCTTCACATCGCCTCCCACCCCCCACGATCTGGTCTCCGTCTTCCCCCCCTCCCCAATCGTCGCTCTTCCGGTCGCCGTCTCCGGTCGCCGTCTTCCAACAGCTCTTCCGATCGCCGTCTTCCAGCAGGTCGTATTTCCTCGCTTCCTACCGTCTTCCAGCAGCTCGTATTTCCTCGCTTCCTACCGTCTTCCAGCAGCTCGTATTTCCTCGCCGTCTCCGGTCGTCGTCTTCCAACATCTCTTCCGATCGTCGTCTTCCAGCAGGTCGTATTTCCTCGCTTCCTATCGTCTTCCAGCAACTCGTATTTCTTCGCTTCCTACCGTCTTCCACCTTATGAGAGGTAGCTTCTTGATCAATGTGTTCTCMTTTTGCTAGTAATTTTGGTTCCAGATGCCAATATGTTCTTGCTCAGGTAGCAATTAAGAGAGGTAGCTTCCTGGATGTAACCACGTGGATGTTTATAGACTCACGTGGATGAGCATTTTTATATATCATATTTAGTAACACTCTGTCCATTTGGAACAAAAATTATGGAAACTCAGTTTAGTTTATGCGCCACTGGGATAGCATTTGAGATGATTTTAGTATGGAATGGGATGATCTTGTTTGCAAGTCTTTTTGTTTTGATGTATAATTTTGTTTTGATATATAATTTTAGTATCGAAGAATTGGAAACTGTTTATTGCCTATTAGTTTATGGTTTGATAGAAGGCCTATGGTTCGTAAACTTTATGTGCAACATCTTATGTGAATTGTTCAAAAACTATTATATTGGAATTTGATTGTTATGTTTTTGTTTATGTTATGTTTGTTTGAATTAATATGAAATATGTAGTTACATTTACAAAGCAATTGTTTTATTCAGGTGTTTGCCAAACAGCTATATTTCATTCAGTACTAAATCATACGGAGGGTTAAAATGGTAATTTGTTGTCATTCAGAGAACATTTACCAAACAACTATATTTCATTCCGCACTTAACCATTCTGACCCTCTTAACCATTCTGACCACTTAACCATTCTGCACAAAATCATTCAGCAACTGCCAAACAGTCCCTCATACTATTAAAAGAGTTATTTTAGCATGATGACTTTTTTTTTGACCTATTCCTTTTAATGTAGTATATTATATTTTGATAGATATAAATATTACATTTCCCTAACTTTTTCTTAATGCAAAAATGTGTCACAAAGTTATTCATGATATTTATATTGAAGACGGATCATTTGTAAACCACCAAATTATGCAAACTCCACCCACCAATCATATTTGAGTTAAATATTTTTAATTATAGCAAAATTATTCGTATTATGCAGCAAGATATATTTCAATTTTAATATTTCGTTTTATTCCGTCTCTATAGATGTTATAATATGGTTTTTATATGGTTTTAAAAAGGGATAATGTTTTTATTTTTGAATAAAATATAAATTTAAAAATATCATAAAATTTCGAAAATAAATATATCAATATTAGTATCAAATTAACTACTTAAAAGTTATTGTTTTTTGTATAATTTTTTTAATTCAATTTTTTATTATAATTTAATTTAANAATTTTGTATAAGAATAATCATTAAGTATTCTGTTAAAACTTAATAATTATCCTAATTATATTTTAGAACTTTTATATTTATTTATATTTAAAATGAAATATTTATCTTGTATTTAAATATGTTTATCTGCAGTTAATTACACGAATTCAAACATGAAGATTTAATAAGTTGTACTTACGCACAATTCATTTATAATCTTGAATTTTAAGTAATATTTATCAATAAACAGTACTTCATGCATAAAAATGATTTTTAAATTTTTTTGTTAAATGCTTTATAATATAGTATATATAAGGTTACTTTTGACTTTTGATTTTTACTGATTAGCGGATAAGTTATAGGATATTTTAAGTAGTTATCTTATTCAAATAATTTCGGTTTTTGTTATGGGCTTGTAAGGTAGTCGTCCATCTTGATTTTTTTTAATGTAAGCTTCCATCTTTATTTTCCGGTGTTATTGTGGGTTTTTTATGGTAACCATCCATCTTTTTTTTAGATATTTTTGCCGTTCAATTTTTTGATTTGTATAGTTACTGAAATTTATTTTTAATGATGAAACATTAAATATAAAATCATCATTATTTCATCGATAAAACATAAAATATGAAGTCATATTTCATTATTTCAATAATGAAATATGAATGAGATTAATAAGGGTGCGTTTGGTTTATTTGTAGGAATAGGAATGAAAATGGGAATTAATATATTAGGAAATATGAATGAATATATTTATTACATTATTTTATATTCCATTATATTTCTTTATATTGTTGATGTTTGTTTGACGAAGGTATTATCAAACAAGACATTCACCAACAACATCTATATAGTTGAAGGGATCTGCATCTTTACACCAAAAAAAGTCTATCTCCATCTCCAATACATCAGCACATAGCATCCATCAGCACCTAACATCCAACAGCAATACTTTTCCATCATCAATACATTATCTCCATTCTTTATCATAAAAAGTCTATCTCCATCTCCAAGCTACCAACAGCACATAGCATCCATGATTTCTCTCTTTCTCAGAAAACCCTAACMGAGTAGAAGAGAAACCATCCCTTATTTCTTTCTTCATCAGAAAACCTTGAACCGAGTATAACGAAAACCGGAACAGAGATGTTATCTATGTGAAAATCGGAGGAAATAAACAAATCTATGTGAAAATCGGAGGAAATAAACAAATCGATGTGATAAATCAAATCGAAATCTTCGATCCGATGGAGAAAACCGAGTTCCCCCTTTTTGATTGAGATGGAGAAAACCCTAACTGAAATGGAGATTAATCTTCGAAAAACTTGATCGTCAAACAAGATTTGTATCAGATCTGAGGTGTAGGAAGAGATAGATGGAGAAATGGTAAGGGAGAAGAAGACTTCGAAAAACTTGATCGTCAAACAAGATTTGTATCAGATCTGAGGTGTAGGAAGAGATAGATGGAGAAATGGTAAGGGAGAAGAAGATACCTTGAGGAGGATAAGGGGAGACGATGGTAAGGGAGAAGAAGATACCTTGAGGAGGATAAGGGGAGAACAAGATTTCTATTCCCCCCAAATTGRGGAGGAATGGTTTTTAATAAAATCTATTATAATGATTAATTAATTATCTGTTACAAAACACCATTTTTCATTCCATTTCCATTCCTTGTTTGAAACAAACACAATCAATGATTATCATTTTCATTCATTACCCTTTAATACCCCTAACCAAACACCCCCTAAGTTTTGTTTTGCTTTCATGAATGAATTGGTTTTTTCTACGGATTGAAGCCAAAACAACTATAAAACCTAAAAAAAATCTAGAAAATATATATAAAAATAAACATTCAAAAATATATATTGACCATTTTACCCTTTTCAACTCTGATTATATTAGGATCCATTAAAAAAAAACCTCTTAACATAAATAGCTCATATTGATTTTTAACCATTGATCAATGACATCAAGGATGTAGATGGGTTTTCAAATGACCACCTATATATATATATATATATATAGGGTTGGATTCACGTGAGACCAAGGGTTTCTTGTGAGACTTGTAAGACCAATTTATGTTCATTGATCAACTTTATAAGTTAATGATCTAATGGGTTTTCAAATGACCATCCTCAAATTATCTTCGGTTCCTGTCGAAGTGATCCTGATCAAACAATCCTAGTTAGAGAGAAGAAATATTATTGGCGTGAATGTAATAAACTCGAAAGCACCGAATTCTCGTTCACGGATGGAGAATTACGAAGGTTGGGTGGTGTTCGTCGACAATGATTTCCTCTATCTCGGGGACATCAAGGAGCTACTGGATCTGATCAATGAAAAGTATGCAGTGATGTGTGTTCAACACGATCACACCTCAAAAGAGGCTCCGAGAATGGCCGGTGTGGTTCAGACAGTATACCCACAAAAGAACTGGTTGTCGATGGTGTTGTATAACTATAGCAACCGGAAAACCAAGATTCTAAAGTCAGAGGTTGTGAATAAAGAATCAAGTGCGTATCTTCATAGATTTCAATGGCTGAAAGATGATGAAATCGGGCCAGTCCCTTTTGTATGGAACTTTCTTGTGGGTCATAACCATGTTGTTAATGGAGATCCAAGTACTCACCCAAAAGCAATTCATTATACATCTAGAGGGCCATGGTTTGAGGCTTGGAAAGATTGTGAATTTGAGGATTTATGGTTGAAGGAATTGGAAAAATATGAAGTAAAAGAGAAAGAGAAGAAGATTTGAAGAAGAAGAATTCTTTGAAAAGTAAGTTTGTATTGTATGTTAGATGTTGTCCATAAAGTGTTTGATGAAATATCTCTATGATTGTTGTACTTCATTGTTTCTAACAGCCTTGCCTTCTTTCATCCCGTCCATGCTAGCTACAACTCCATACGTCTAGTCCGCTACCCTAATCATGGGGCTTATAAGAACTCCCAGCAGAAGACATGCCCTCGAAAATTAAACCCTCCATGTCTATCCTTGGTTGTTCATCTCATGTCCTACTAAGCCTGTCCATCCTTGATTGTCACACTTTCTACTCTCCTCACCGGTGCCGTCATAAGTCTCATACAAATGTGTTCAACCCACCCAATCTCCCCTCTCTCAATTTATCCATGACAGACACAACTCCCAACTCCGTTCGGAAGA